GGTCTGGACCAAACAATTGGACCAAAGGACTTTCCTGGTCTGAATACACCCTTAGTACTGTTTATTTTTTATTTTAATTATTTTTCAGAGATATTTGGTCAACTGTTCCACAAAAACAGCTGCAATGATCAACATGAAATTTGGAAGGACTGTAGATGAGTCTGACCTACACTGCACCACCCAACGGTTTTACGATAGACCCCATATTTGAGGAGGGGGCTCCTTTCAAAGTGGAGGTGTCAGGACATGCAAAAATGCTTATAACTCAGAAACTGTTCAACATAGAAGCTTCAGATTTATTTTGTTGTTTAGCTCTGATGAAGCTCTATCCATCAGGCCCACAAATCAGTGCCCCTCATCCCCCGGACCCCCAATTTATCTGAAAAAGGGGTATCTGGACATACAAAAATGGTTATAGCTCAAAAACTGTTAAACAGAGGAGCTTCAGATTTTCTTTGTTGTTTAGCTCTGGTGAGGGGCTATGCATCAAGCCCAACGCCCACCCCACCCCAAAAAAAGACCCCCACCCAAACCACTACAATTTTGGGATGCACCTAGCAGAGTGACATTTATTAGGAATAAAGACTTCTGAGTTCTGGTGCATTTRTGCGTGCGGGGKTCAYTATGTTACYKCYRTGYGGTWTCTAGTTTTTCACTTAGCTGATTAGTGTTTTCACTTACTTTAAAAATTATTAGCAGACCAGTTARCTTTCACCATATTAGATTTTGCCAATTTTAAGCTGGAAGGAGACGTGTGACACAGAATGAGTGACAGTGGTCACGATAAGCAACAAATTTGTACTGATTTAGCACAGTGAGTCTATATATTTTTAGTTAGCRAAGCTAACTTTTTAGTAAGCTGTGCCTACCACTGCTCAAACTAATAACTTCACTGTTTATAAACTTACCAAATTATTCTGGTCTGTCTGTGTATCAGTTTGCACTCTCCTCCTTGGGTTTCCTCTGTGTATCCTGGTGTTCTTCTATTCAGTCTCCTGTCTGTGAATCCTTCAGCCCCGCCCTCGCTCACCTGTTTCCTCTTGTGTCTCCTCCAGGTGTTTCTTKTTTTCCCCTCATTAGTTGATCCTTATTAACAGTCTTAATGTCCTCCAGTATTTTTCTGATCATTGTGCTGTTTACCCAGCTTCATGCTCTACATCTCCTTATTGTTTGTTTCATTGATTTCTTTAAAGCTGCCACGATAGCCTTTTTGTTTAYAAATAAATASTTCTGTGGCTTTTGACTCTGGYTGTTCYCTGGGTTATCTGCTGYCATTCTCACAAGATTAGARTTTTTACAAGTTTGTTTAACAAAGGTTACTAAAATCATTTGAAAGAAAATGAAAATGTACATATTCTGTCTTATCAGATTTTAGCCATAATTTGAGGAAATCAACCACATTAAATAGTGCCTTTCTATCCAATCAGGACACACAAAGTGCTTCACCCTGCAATCTGGGCCCTCATTTACCCATTCACACACATTCACACACATTCACACACATTCACACACATTCACACACATTCACACAGCACTCCACTAGATCTCTACGAAGTTAATACAGATAAATCAGTCTAGAGAGACTAATCAGTGCTTAAATCACWCTCACACACTGATGGGACACACATCAGAGGGGGTTCAGTATCTTGTCCAAAGACACTTCAGCATGTGACTGAATAACAGTGGAATCGAACCACCAACTCTTATATTAAAGGAACGACTCCACTAACCACTCAGCCACAGTCACCACCAATTATTAAATCCAATAATGACTTTAAAAAAACAGCTACAGTATTTGTATGTTTTACAGCCGAATTTATCTGTATTTTCAACTAATTCAAACTTCTTTTCTACAACGATACAAGATAATTCGATTCAGTCATTTGCAGCATTTGAAAATGCACAGCTCGATGATTCATGTGCTTCCTTTGTATTCCCTCATGAATGGATTTGTTTGGATGTGGATGTCTTTCCTGTTCTTTTAGACAAAATGCATTTGTGGAAAAGCAGCACTAAGCTGCTGAAGGACACACACATACACACGCAGCAGCAGATTGATTTATTGAATTTTATGCATTAGCGTTTCCACACGCATGTCTGTGTTAGTGAGTTTGGTGCATAATGCATCATTATGGAGTGTCATGAGCGGATGTCACTAGCCCTTACAGATAATGCACACATAAAGGAGCTTTTTAGCCACAAACACATAAATGTGCATTTTTTTAAAGCATGAAATAACAGGCATGTAGACAGGTAACCTAAACAAACAAGCTTGTTACATATAAATTACACATAGTAAAGCAGATCTGGTCTTTATCAGGAACGAAAATCTTTGAATTTTACCATAAAAAGCAAAAAACACAAATTACATAATTTAATTATATTTTTAGGAAGCTCAAAGACAAAATCTGAAAACTGCTTTCTGCTTTCAAAAAATTTAAGCTAAATGTAGGCATGGTTCTGCTAAACAGCT